GCCCCCCCCCCCCCCCCCCCCCAGCCCATTCTTCTGTTAGAGGAGGGACACAGTTAAAAGACTCCACACCAAACAGGTCACGCTCAACTATTGCAATGTGCTGCCTTCTGCAAGGATGATGGACAATCAGGAAGGCTTTAAGGTTATAGTCCTCAAAATTTTCTCAATGTGGTAATACTTTGTCAAATCACAACCGTGTTAAGACAAGTTTAAGACCAGGCCCACGTTATCTAAGCTCTCCTCACATCTATCACAAAATCCAGGGAGCTTTGCCTTAGACCACAGTGAAAGGAGGATCAAGCTTTTCCAAGGTGAATAAATGGGTGTGCAGCTCTTTGCATCCTTTGTACTTGGTGGTCCTACAACCATTCACGTAAGCCACTGTGGTCACAGGCTTCTGCCTGCCTGCATGGGACACACGCTGGAGACAGGGCTAAGTTTTGCTTACAGCATGAACAGTCATCACTGAAAGTCTGGTCTTTCTCCTAGTTCCAACCTGGAAAAAAATCACTTTGCTTGAAGTCATAAACTGATTTGCATCTCCATTTTGTATCTTCTTATAGCAAGGAATTGATGGGTGTGCTTGTGAATCAGCACGTTGGGAGGATTCGTTTTTTTCTGGTGAAATCATAAATAATTGTTCTCCTCCACAAAGAAGAATCAACCTACGTTTCCAGAGCACTTGCAGAAATGCTTTTTCTAGGCTCCATTGCATAGCCTGATTTTGGAAAGTTCTTAAGATCTCTGGGTTTAGGAAAAAAAGCGTATAAATAGGGGGTTCCTGTTTGGTTGGTTTTTTCCTAAGAGCTACAGTAGGAGTATTTCTTCAATACAGTTTTCAGAATATCACCATCAGGAAAGCATCCGAAGTAAAAATAAGGAAACAGGATTCCTTGTTATGTGCTTCAGGGAAACACAATTTCTATTTATTCCAGCAAGTTTCAAACTCAGCCATCCTTCTGAGCAGTCACGATCTTAGCTTACTCACTAGGAAAGCCTGTACCAGCTCACAGCATGCACCGAGTCCTGCTGTTGCAGCCTGGCAACTACTGCCTATAGTCTGCACCCGCCAGGTGAGAGGGAAGGGGCAAGCCCCCCTCATCGCAGCCACGGGGGCAGGGAGCACCGCAGCCCCCGGCCGTTCTACGCCCAGGGTAGGCCTGGTCTGAGCATCCTGTGCCCCCCCAAGCCTCCCCACAACAGCGTTACGGGCATGAAGAACCGATACGTGACAGTAAATTTGAGCAAGAAAGCAAATCGCTCCCTTCCCCCTGACACCAGCAAGTTAAGATGAAATGCAAAGCCCGCTTGTTTTGTTCGGCGGCTCCGCATCGCACGGAGCCAAGGTTTTTCATTTCCTTAAAAAAACCCACAGCAAAAATTCAAACGCAATTGGCAACTCACCCGAAGTGGCTGGCTAAACTCATGGAAATGCAGAAGAGGAAGAAGTTTTTGATCATGATAAAGCCAGAGACCATCCCATTGTCCATTCCAGAGGAGAGGAGGAACGCAGGTGGTTGCTTTGGGAAAGGTGCAGCTGCTCACTTGGTTCTTACGCTGCAACAATACAAAAAAAAAAAAAAAAAAAAGATAAATTATTACGCGGACAAACAGCAGGATAGCCGAGTTCAGCTAACACCGCATCTTCTGCTATCTCTGTTTTTCACAAACTTATCTAGGCTTATGTAAACATCAGCTGTTTATGTAAAATTGTATATCTTCAAGGACATGTTTTACCTTCTGCTGACAGCAAACTGCAAAACAGGAAAAATTCTTAGTGGCCCCGTTTTCCCTTGTATTTGTCCGTGATAGAATAACTAAAGAAACAGTCACCATTTTCCAAATGCCACTTTCGACCCTTTACCTATTTCCACAACTTCCACACGCCTGCAAACCCAGGGCAGTGTGCAGCCTCCGCATCCCTTCCTTCCATCGCAATTTTTTTCCCATTAAATACCCGGCTTCCCTTTCCAAAATCCCAGTTGAAATGCCAAGAAACACCTACTGCTTCTTGGAATTCACGCTGCTGATGCACGGCTTAGCAAAAAGAGGGTGGGATGGGGGGGGATGGTGGTGTAAAAAGTGACCTTCCTCGCAAAGGCACATAAACCTCACGCTAGCACGAAGAATGACATTAATTTAGCTGCGCCAGCGATTGCCGCTTTTCGGATACCTGCCTCAGCGACCAGATCACCAATTTCAGCATTGTGCACTAACGTTTTCCTCTGTGCCCTATTAAAAAAAAAACAAAACCAACAACAAAACAAACAAAAAAAACCCCCAACC